TGGTGGCCAGCTCAGCCCACCCTGGGGGTAGGACTGGCTTGGCATGTTTTGCTGGAGAACAAACCTGGGTCCCTGTGCTTGCCTAAGCAGAAGCTTTTTTTTTTTTTGCAGAACTGGGGATTGAACCCAGGCCCTTGCGCTTGCCAGGCAAGCGCTTTATTCTACTGAGCCATCTCCCCGGCCCCTAAGCAGGCACTTTAGACTGCTGAACTATCTCACCAGCCCCTTGGAGCAGATTTGAATCTAGTTCTGCAGGTGTTATTGAAGGTAATATTCATGAGCACATGAAAGTTTGAATTCACTAAAATGAGTGAGTCAGTGGGTAGAGTTTCTGATCCCTAGAGCCTCAAATAGTATAGACACCTTCTAGGCATTTAATCTCTGTAACTCTTTAATCCACAAAGAGTTGAGAAGTTGGTCACTTACCCCAGGCTGCATGCTGTGTAGGTGGTAGAATCTGGATTCTACTTGGGCCTTTCCTGCTTTCATGTGTAGTTTGGTGGTGTTGGGAAGGAGCACAGAGCATCCTGTGACAGCTTGGGGCGAAGGGTCCTCGGTGGATGCAAGAACGTCCCTCCCTGTCGCACTTCCAGTCGGCTTGGTTCTGGAAGGCACTACTGCTGTTTAGTTGGGGAAGTCTGGTGCCAAGTGTCCTACAGTGCATGGGAAAGTCCCGGCGAATGAGGAACTGTCCTTATGCTCAAGAGTCTCGTCTCTTCTGTAAGGTCTTTATAAATATTGAGACACTCTAAAGAAAAGAAAGGTTCGTTTCAAATGACCCTGTTTGGAAATACCTGCTTGGTTCCCGTTCATGACCGTAGTTCTCACTGCCGTGTTCACTCTGTCTCCTGCACTTTGCTTGTCCCAAGACACAACATCCCACACCCACAACTTGAAAGGAGGTTTTCTTGGCTCTCAGTTTGTTGAGGTTTCAGACCGTAGTGGCTGGCAGCGTGGCAGAGGGGGCTGGGGGCGAGTAAGTTGGGGGAAAGACGTTTACAGCCTGGCATTCTGAAGCAGAGGGCCGAAGGTGGAGCCCCGGAGGGAGGCAAACCCCACCAGGTCATGCTCCCAGGGCCTGCCTCTTCCAGCCAGACCCTCCCAATGATAGGTCAGGATTCAGAGTTTCTGGGCACCCTGCCCCAAACACTCTCCCTCTTGGTTTCCCAGGCACTCTGCCCCCAAATTCTCTCCCCCTTGGCCCCACGCAGAACCAAGCCCAAAACTGCAGAACAAGTCTGCCTGACCTTGACCATACAATACCACAGAAAGTCTCCTTTGTTAACCTTGAAAATCCCCCATAGACCAGGTAGCCCTGCCAAACTTAGCTCTCCCTGGCTGTTCCAGCCCACAGCCCCCCCCAACCCCTCCCCAAAGAAACCACCTTAAAAGCCCTGTGCTTTGCCTTGTTTGTTGTTACTGTCTTGGTCCACTAGACAGCTGGCCTGCTTGCTACCCTCAATAATTTTTTTTTTTTTTTTTTTTTAGTACAGGATCTACAGGGTCTCACTAGTGGTTTGCCTGTATTCAGCCTCCTAAAAGGTGGGATTACAGGCACATGCCACCACACCCAGTCTCAGTTGCTGTCTTGGTGTACCCGGGGGATCAAACCCCAGCCTCTGCGTCTGCCTAAGCAGGCACTTTAATCTGCTGAGCTATTTGGCTGGCTCTCAGTAAATCTCATGTCAGAATGCATGGTCTGGCCGATTGTATGGGTTTGTACCTAACATTTAGTGCCAGAAACCTGGGAGGGATGCATTTGCCTGTCCCTCCGGACCTGGGCCTTGCCCATGTCCACCGCCAGCCCTTCAGAGCAGACCGCAAGCCTCGGACCCCTATTGCTGTCCTAAACACCCATGGTACCTACAACTGTGAGTATCCCTCATTAAACCTATCTTAAAATACAAACCTTTTCCATTGTCCAACTTGTCAAGCCTCAACCCTCTCCTGGATTAGGATCTTGCAGACATTGAAGAGATCCTACATAGTCTTTCCAGGCTAAACCTGGCTGTTCTGATCTGGATCTAACATGTTCCCCAAATGTCTCATGTATTTGGAACATGATTGGTTACTGGGTACACACTCATCTGTGACTCGTCCATTGATGAGTTTGGGGGCTGACTGCTGTAGGAGGCGGGTCGTGGCTATGGCCTGGAAGGTGGTACTGTTGTCCTCTTCTCCTCCTTTCCCTCTTTGTTTCTTGGCTGCCCTGGATGAGCAGCTCCCCTCCCTGCCCCTCCACCATGCCCCACCCACCTTCAGTCATGCCTTGCTGCGTAACAGTCATCCAGTGTGGGCTGAGTCCTTGGAAGGCTGAGAGCCAATGGAAAATTATCCTCTGAGTTGTGGAGGTCAGGCATTTCACCCAGCAGTAGAAAAGTGACTAATATATTTTCCAACTCCTTTGAAATTCTTATAGTTTAGTTTTTTTGTTCTTTAATCATCTGGTTACTCTTGTTAACCTACATTTTTCCCTACAGTACAAAATGATAGCTAAATGCAGTAATCTTGATATATTCCAATCCTCAAAAGGGTGAGACATAAAAATAAAATGATGCCTAGCATAGCGGCCGGGGAAATGGCTCAGTGGAATAAGCACTTTCCTGGCAAGTGCAAGGGCCTGAGTTCAATCCCCAGTTCTGCCAAAAAAAAAAAAAAAAAGTGAGACAGCCCATCATACTTTTCTTATTCTGTGTTGATTACACTAATGTTTGTTGGAGGCTTCAGTGGTGCAGCGTCAGATCACACCATTGGGTACGTGGGCCTTCCTGTCACGCAGAACCACACACCATAGTCCCTTGTGCTAGCGCTCAGTTCCACGGTGCATCGTTCAACACTTCATATGGGGTAAGTTATAAGCCGTAATAATTGACTCCGTTCTGCATACAGCGGTACTCTTGCTGAATCCTGATGCTGTTATTATCCAGGGTGCCCGTAACTCCTACCCAAGGGCCAATAATGGCTCCCTTGTATGACCATTCAGTTGAGTGATTACTCTCTTGGCCAGAGTAGAGCCTAACAAAAACCCACTGCCTTTTGCGGGTCAGCTTCAGCTCTGGGCAGAGGTTAATCAACATGTCTCTCATGGTACAGTGATTCAGTGATTTTCTTTATCCATCTAGTCCTGGTGCCGTCCACCCACAAGCCCAGCCCACAGTCTTCCATCTTGTCCCAAAACAGATAAAGGGGAACCCATCAGATGCCTTTTAAATATAGTTACGTGGTGATTGCTTCACTTCCTGATCTCCTAGAATAGTAGTTATGTCAAAGAGGGAACTTACATCAGTGGAGTTTGACTCGGCCTACACCGCTGCAGTGTTCTGTGCCGGCCCTGCACTCTGATCTCACCAGCTCCCAGGACTCCCCACTGGACCCAGCCCCTCTGTCATCGTGGTCTGGAGGCTCCTGTCCGTCTCTCCACGACAGCGTGGCCTGTGACGCGTCCCTGTCATGGCTTCCTTCTTGCAGAGCCAGTGGCTTCCCGCCGCCGTGTTTCTTGCGTCGAGCTGCCCCCCCCCCCTTACCAGATGACAGGCTGCCATTGTGGGCTCTTCCCGTGCTTTCTGGCTGGTGGACACCAAGTTCCTCTTTATGTCAGCCTCCTTGTCCCTTGGGGAAAAGAAACCTACTTTGTTCTCCTTATTGCTTGGTTTTTCTGGGAATATTCTGAGTCTCAGGTTTACAGTTTTTACTCCAGGTCTTCAACAACTTGCTTTTTTCAGTAATTTCTCAAGAGTCTCCTGGGGAAGTGTGTGGTCTCCTCCAGTACATGGTAGCTGAGAGCTTCTTATAACGTTTTTGAAAATTAAAATGCATTTGTCCATTTTCAGATTTATGCCATTCTCCACATATGTGACAATTCCTGATTCCTGATTCCCTGGTAGAAATCTTGTTTTCAGATCTGCTTCTTAGAACTTGAGAAATAATCCCCCCGGCCCAGGGCAAGGCCTTCACTTAGCCATCTTAGGCCTTTGGTGGAATTTCTTCCCTCTTCTTGGGTAAGAGCACACAGACCTTCCCATTTGCTTAATTCATTGCAGGTCAAGTAAGTTCCCCAGCAGGAAAGAGGCTAGGGGCGTTGAGGAGTCGGCTGCCTGCGTTCCGGCCACTGACTGGCCCCCTTTTGCTGAGTAGTAGATGTAGCACTTCCTTGAATGTTGTTTTACTTCAGGCAGTTTTTGTCTCTTGGTTTTCACAAAGTTTTATTTTTGCCTGTTAGCCTGTCTTGGTGACGCGCATCTGTTCAGTTGAGGTCACCGTCCCCCGTTGCACACCTTCCCGGCTTCAACGGTGCATGCGTGTATCTGGTGCCTTTCTTTTTAGGTTTCTTGTTAAAGAAGGTACGCAAATTTCTGACCTTGGTTAACACTGAAATTTGAGTATGATTCCTTTGTTCAGATGACAGTGTGACTTTGAAAGAGACTGAACACCTGCCGTGTCTTGGTATGAGCACAAATATCTTCTTGGAGGAAGTGCCTGCACAGGAAGGTCTGTTTTGGCCCGTTCCATAAGTGGTTGAACTCAATGTGACCAGCGCTCCTGACATGGGTTCCTTTGTATGTTAGGAAACATGTTGGGAAAACAGCTGGTGGGCGAGGGAGTTTTGTCCTGACAAGAAATCCCCAAATGTTCACGGAGCTCCGGCTTGTTCATGTGAATGCAGAAAGCCTCGCTGTGCCGCAGGGTCCACACTGGCTCAGTGTGGTGAGGAATCGCTGTCCACACTGGCTCGGTGTGGTAGGAATCTCTGCTGATTTTCTTCTTAAGTTCTTTTAAAATGGGAACACTTTGCTAGTAACACAGAAAATATTTGGTCTTTTTCTTTAACACAAAGTTTATGAGGTGAGGACTTTTCTCTGCCATTGTTTTGAAGAATGAAATGCATTTAGTATTTATTTGGCTATCCCAATATGGGGTTGCAAAAAGAAATATTTATATGGATAATACATCATGCGTTTCCTCATGAAATTCTGGTCTGCAGTACAGCGTGAATGCAGGAGACTCTTGGAGTCAGTTTGGAAGAATCTAACGTGTAGTGACGTGTGGAGAAGTCAGCAGTGAGTAAATGAAGGCTTCTGCGAAGAAGCCCATTGAGACGTGTAAGGCAAAACGTAGTTCCACTGGAGATTCACTTCAGGAGCTTGGGTTTTGCACTGAAACATGAGGGCTGCTGTGTGGTTGTCCAGTCACTTTTCTTTCATTGTAAGACAAGATACCTGACACCCCAAGTTCACCCCAAGTTCAAAGGAGGAAACTTTTACTTGGCCCAGTTTGTGGAGGTTTCAGTTCATAGGCAGACTGGCTCCAGGGCAGGCAGCGGACAGCGCAGAGGAGAATCAGCTCACGGCAGGCAGAAGGTAGCAACCCAAGCAAGGGACCAGGCAAGTCTCTTTCTGTCCCTTCTATTGTCTCCAGGGTACTGGGATGAGGGTGGTGCCAAACCCAACAGTGGAACTGATTTAGTAATCACCCACCCTGAATCCTAGTGCCTTAATCCTAGCATCGCACCATGAATCAGTTGCACACTCCGGCTTCAGCCGCTTCTGAAAAAGCCCCATGGCTGCGTGAGTTTTGGGCCACGTCCAGACACAGCGTGGCAGCGGTGTTCTGCACCGACGTGTGTGCAGCATGCCCTGCCTCACTCCTTCTGGATAATCTGCTGGTGTGGTTAGAGCTGAAAGGACCACATCTTTCTTGTTGATGAAATTAAAAAATTCACTGAAACTGAAGGGACACCGGAGGTTAGCATATTTTTTACTTATTTAATAGAATATTGAGAAATAATAAAGCCTCCATGGTTCTAAACAAACACAGCTGCACCACATGTCATTTCTTGGATCATTTAAGCCTTTTCTGCTTATTTCCATCAATATCTTTCTACTGGAATCAAATGTTAGCTTCTGGCTCAGCTGGCAATATAAAAAATTTGCAATTAAATTGTTATGATTTCATTTTTATTCATGAGGAGAAACTTAATAGGCAGGGACCCTTATATATCTGTGGCGTGTAGGAGAGGAACTTTACAATAAACCACCTGGCCACAGCAGAGACAGAGGCTGGAATCCAGATCTTCCCAGAGCCAGTGCCAGGCCAGTATGAGTCTCCTTCCCTTTTCTTCAAGTAGTTCTTCATTTGGGAGGAATCCTTGGATTTGTGTTGGTATGCAGTGACTTTATTCCCAATTCTGGATTAAGTTAGCTCTTGCTTAGCATTTTTATGCATTTTGTACATATTTCGGTGCCAGGTATTGAGGGCAGTATAGGGAGATGTGAATTGGGTGGTGTTTGATTGGAAGGCAACTCCATGTTGCCACACAAAGTGTCCTTGTCACCAGAGTGTGATCAGGTGCCTCCCAGCATCTGAGAGGTGACACGCATGCTAGGTTCTAGAAGGGAGGGAAAGAGGCACCCGGTGGTTGGGAAGGATGGAGAGCACAGTTGGGCCTTGCCCTGGATCTGTCAGAAGGGGCGTGAAGTGACCTCAAGCATGGGAAAAGGTGAGGATTAAGGGGCAAAGCTGAGGGGGCCCCAGCATGTTCAGCCCACACTCAGTGTAGGCGTGTCAGAGTTGGACACTCGACCGGCGTCTGTTATTTCTTCTGTCACCCAAATGCTTGAGTGAGTATGAAGTCCGTCAGCTGTCAAAGCATGACCTCTGCTCTGCCAGTGTAGTCCTACTGGACGCTGGATGTCCTCGATGACTCTTCTTGTAAAGGCCAGTATGTCTGTCTTAACCTCAGAATATACGCAAGGGGGCTGGGGAGATGGCTCAGTGGAATAAGCGCTTCCCTGGCAGGCGCAAGGGCCTGAGTTCAATTTCCGGTTCCACCAAAAAAAAAAAAAAAAACAGCAACAACAACAACAAAAAAAGAATATGTAAGGCCCTGGCTTCCATGGGGTCCGAAGTACCTCATCTCATGCCTCTCCAATTGCTTTCTGGTTCCAAAGGTCATTGAAAGTCACAGCAGCATATGCCACACTGTATTTAAGTCCCTGATCCACTACAGCTAGTGCTTACACCCTTACACTTTAGTTATGCGCCCATCGGAATCCCCACCTGGCTGGGGACACGGGGATAACCGCACTGAGTTGGAAGTGTTTTCCTCCTGTTTCCATATGAGGCTTTGTGTGTAGTTGTCAAGCTTTCAGAGTGATATCACCATTGGTTTTTTTTTTGTTTTTTTGTTTTTTTTTTTCCTTTTCTTGTAACTACAACCATATGCTGGGGATTTCAGGTTTCTTTTTGGTAGCCCTAGCTACCATGTTGTGGTGTCTCCAGCTGATTCTGCCTGGGTGCCTTGAAGGCAGATGTCCAGGAGGGCTCTCTCACATTCTCCCCTCTCCTGCGCATTCTGCTCTCTATCATGTCTTTGCTGACTTGATTCACCTAATTGCAGAAATTTAAAGGGCCTTTGTCTTTCATTCCTGTGTTGTCTGCATCGAATGGGTCGACAGACCTCATCCATGGCTTCCCAAGTAGTTCCTGCATTCGCGCCCGCTCAGTCTGTGTTGGCTGCCAGGACCTTAGTTTGCCCCTTGTCACCTCACTCATTTTGCCGCCATTTCTTTCTCTTCAGTCAGGTGCTCCTGCTTGTCTTCCCTGTCTCTCCGCTTTGGTTGTTTCTTACCCAGGTGAAATCCCTTTTGTGACCTCCTTGTATAATGGGGGTGAGAAACTTAACTTTTATCTCACAGGCCCACGGCCACTTTGATAATAGCTGCTGCAAGCCCTGGCTTTTGGGTCCAACATGGTCGCCGAGATGCAGGTAACGCGGGTGGCCCTGGGTCAAAGCCAGGCTCCATCGCCAGGGTTCGGCCCTCATGCCTCGGTTGTTCCCTCCCACAGCTTCCACCTCAGCTCCCCGGCACTGTGGTCCCCTCCCGAGCCGCTGTCTCCTGGCTCTTCCCTGGGTCCACCTGGGAGCCCAGGCTCCCAGCCTTGTGTGCCTGTGCAAGGCGTGGGGCGGGTGCTGCTGAGGGCTAAGTACTGCTTCTGGGTTTTTTAAATTCATATTTTAGAACATTGTGTGTGTTTCTCACGCACAACAGGATATTCTGAAGTACAGTCGTGCAGCGTGGCTCAGCTGCTACCTGTGCCTGTGGTAGTCGTGTGGATTTCATTGGCTTGAAATCCTTTGCTGCCCTCGGTGGGCAGCGAATTCCATTAGACCAAGTATCCTGTCTCATTTATCCTTGGACCCTGGGACTATGGAATGTGTGTTCTGGATTCAGTTGTTCATTAGGTTGAAATGAATAGTAAATAATCGTGATTGATGAGGGCACTTTGCCTGTTTTAAAATTAAATTGGGTTGGTAGACATACCTGTGCTTCAAGGTAAAAGGACAGGTAGAAGGTGTGAGAATGCTTTGCAGAAAAGGGAGATTGGCAAGGCAGGCTTTGGAGATACCGGAAATTTTCGAGCAGGGCAATGGCTCAAAGGCTCGGTGAAAGTGGCTGTTGGGGAAGATTGATCTGAAGTCAGCCTTTCATTTAGGTTTAGACAGCAGAGTGGCAAGGGCAGGTGGGGTGTGAGGCCTGGGAGAGGTGCAGGCAGTGGAGGAAGCTCTGAAGAAAGGTTTCCGAGTCTCCACACTTCGATTTCCACATCTCCTCCAGGGGCTGGGCTCACGGGCAGCTTCCAGAACATAAAATAGAACAGGGAGGTTGTTTTTATTAAGAAAAACAGTCCTCTCTAAGATACCTAGGTGAGCCATTTTACATAATTGTCTGTGAGATGTAATCATTATGAATTATGTGGAAGGAGTGATTTTTGAGTTCCAGGCGTTTTAACAAAATAATTTGCATGGGCTGGACGAGGCCGCAATCTTCCAAAGTCATCGAAAATTTTCATTTTGGCACATTTTGAAATAATTGCTAATTATGAGGCAAGCCCTCTGGTGCAGTCCTCCATCTCCTTTCAACGACCGCTCACCTATCATCTCCATTCTAATTGTAGTTGTGTGGTTGCTTCGCTCACTGTGTGCACATTTGCATTTGTGTCTGGCTCATGTGACTGTGTTTCCTGGTTAAAATTGAATCCCGCACTTGTTTGGGGCTGTGTGGTGTGGCACTGCTTTATTCTACATGCTGGTCATTGCAAGCCACTTCATTTATGGTCGCTTTGTTATTTTCTTTTCATTCCAGGGCTATGACTCATTGATTACAAAGGAATTCTCCAAGTATTTTGCACTTTTGTTTCTATATTATGGATACCAAGGAAGAGAAGAAGGAACGGAAACAAAGTTATTTTGCTCGGTAAGCATTCATTTTGCAAATTTGCTTTAAAAAAAAAAATGGAGGGGACTTTGTCCTCTAGTATTGCTTGACATTTCGTGTGTGGTGATCAGTAGATGTTAAACCAGTTTACTTTGTCCTTTTAAAAATTAATGTGGAAGGAGCAGCATTTGTTTCTTTTGCTACCTCTGACAGTTCTCACGGGTGCTTAGTGAATCTGGCCATCCTGTGCTTCCTTCCGGGCTGTGTTTAGCAGCTTACCTTGAATTTTAAATAGTGGGTACTCAGCCCCCACTATTCTGTAGCTGAACTGTTTGATAACTAAAAACGTGTGACTTATTTAAAGCCAATTGCCCCATGAGGGGTTCACTACTACAAAAGAATTTTGTAGGTAAAGAGCACGGATGAGGTGACATCATTGGAGTCAGTGTCACTTTTGAGACTTGAGTTTACCTAATGCTTACCATTTCTTGTTATCTGAACAGAAGTAACCCAGCAGCTGATTGGCGGTGATTTGCAGATGTAAACATCATAAGGCCTGGAGCAGGCGCCTGGCCTTCATAATGACAGGAATGCTATGCTAAACACTTGTAAATCATTCTGACAGCCTGAGCTCTTTCCCACTCAGAGGACACAGGCTGAAAGTGGTGGTCTCTGAAACTGAGATTCTTACGAAATGAGTTTAGTTCTAGTCTGTCCCCAGCCTGTAGTCCATACTCATTAAAGATGTACTTTCTGTTTTTTAGATATGAACCTTGGAACTAAAACCAAAGTTTCTTTTTTTCTTTTTATCAGTGTATTTATCCAGAAGTTACGTTGCATTTTAGATTGTTAATAGGAAAAAAGAAGGAAACAGCTCGAGGACTCACTATGTATAAGTACTTTGTTATTGTTTTATTTATTCTCAGAATAAATCTGTGGTACAAATTACGTTATCCTCATTTTCCTGATGGGGTAGCTAAGACTCAGAAAGGACTTTGCCCATTGTGTGGGCTGTCAGCAAAGAGCGTGGCCCAGTTAGGAACAGTGACTGTTCGTTGTCTCTGGAATACAAGACTTAAACTTTCTGTTACTTGAAGTGTTTTCCACTCGTAGGCCCATGGAGAGTAGTAAGACTGGAGAAGAAACAAATCAGGTATATGGTGGGTAGGACACTAGAAAGAAAGGGCATTTACAACAAGGAAGAGCTATTTAATTTTTCAAAATGATTATAGCTTCCTAGTTAGAAAGAATATTGCTTAACCGTGTGTCCTTCATTTACTTTCCTCTGGTGAGAGGACTGTGCTGTGCTGGAGTACAGCTGTGACGCTGATGCTGCGGCCACCAGCTCTGTGCGGATCTCCGCAGGTCACAGCGCTCGCATTGTGTGCGTCTGTGCATACTTATGTGCATTTTTATCACGTGTAGCTTCGTAGGGCTGAGGTCCCAGGTAGGACCCAGAGCAGGTCCACATCAGGACTCGGAGCTCCTTCTTCTGTAGCGGTGCTCAGCTCCACCTACCTGTCACTCCTGGCCACTGTCAGTGGCTTCTCTTCTGTGTCATTCCTCAGTTCAAGCAGTGGTAGAGTACAGAAGTTCAGTCGCTAGGTTTTCTTGCACTGATTTCCTTGGTGTCTGTCCAAGCTATGGCAGTATCAGTAGCTCATTCCTGGGTGTTGCTCAACGGGATTACGTGTATGGATCTTTTATAGCTTTAGTCTCCATCCATGGAAGAATGTTAGGATTGATTCCAGTTTGCGTTGTTAAAACAAAGCAAGCTGCTTAGGATCATCATTGTGCAAGGCTTTATGGGAACACAGATTTTCATTTCTTTGGGGTGAATGCCCAAGGGTGCAGTTGCTGGGTCCCATGGCAGGCATGTGTTTTGTTTTGTGAAGAGCTGCTGTCCTCTTTTCTGGAATGGTTGTGCCATTTGGCATCTCCGTGCTACTACTTTTGATTTTACCATTCTGATAAATGCACGGTGACACCTTAGTGTGATTCTAGCTTTAGTTTAACAGCTAGTGATATTGGACATCTTTTCATGTGTTCATTAGTGCTAACTGTGTATCTCTATCCTATATAGATATCTATAGACGTATATAGGTATCTTCCTCAGTGAAATCTCTTCATGCGTTTTGCCCGTTTTCCAATTGAATTGTTTGTTTTGTTTTATTATGGTTGAGGTTTGAGAGTTCTTTATAATTCTAGATATTAATCCTTTGTCAGATATGTGGTTTACACATATTTTCTCCCAGTTGTAGCCTGGTGTTTCATCTTCTTAACAGGGTCTTTTGCAGAACAGAAGTTGTTTTTTCTTTTTAATTTTCATGTGGTTTAATACATCAGTTCTTCCTTTTATGAATTTTGCTTTTGGTGCCAAGTATTAGCCCTAAGTTCCAAAACATCATTCCCTGAGTTGTTTGTTTGTCTTTTTGTTTGCTTGTTTATTTTCTTTTTTTTCTTTCTTTCTTTCTTTCCTTTTTTTTTTTTGTACTTTAGGGAAGAGTCTACAGGGTGTTCAGGGTCTCACTACTAGATCAGACTCATAGTGATCCACCTGTTTAGACCCTCCCAAGAGCTGGGATTACAGGCATGCGCCACCATGCCCAGTCTCAGTTGCCATCTCAGCGCACCCTGGGGGCGGGCCGGCTCTGCAGGCCGGGGGACCCTGGCTGGTATGGCCGCTTTTAATCTGCTGAGCTATTTGGTGGGCCCTCCTGAGTTGTTTTCTAAAGGCCTTATAGTACTTTGTTTATACTTAAGTCTGTGATCCATTTTGAGTTAATTTCTGTGTAAGATGAGATTTAGGTCTAAGTCAAAATTCTCTGTTTTTGTCTTTGACATACTGGAGTTTGAACCCAGGACTGAAATGCCACTAAACTCTGGTGTAGTCCCAGCTCTATATTTTACTGTGAGGCAGCGTCTTGCTAGGCTGCCCAGGCTGGATTTAAACTTGTGGTAGCTGGGGTTATAGACGTACACCACTGAACCTGGCAGGTCAAGGTCCGGGGGCTGCTCTCCCTCTTCCCCTCCCTTTCCCCTCCTTCCCTCTTCCCTCCCTTCCTCCCTCCTGCTCCTTTCCTTTTCTGCCTATAGATACCCTTCATTGGGATTTTTTTTTAACTAAGTGCCTTTCAGTCTAAATCAAAAATGATTTCAAGGCCATAGTGCTAGGGATGACTGGTGAGTCATGAACAGCTTACCCAATGTCAGAATTAACCTTTTCTTGTCCCTACAATGTAGAGTAAGGAAAGGAGTCTTTAAACTGTGAATACAAACCAAATTTCCAGGAAAAACTGCATAGCTTTTTTCTTTCAGCTCAGAAACATGTCCTCCAAAGTAGTCTAATGATGAAAAGAAAAACATCAAAAATGCTTATTTGGGACATGAGGTGTGTAAGGACAGTGGTAGAAGGACAGAAGTCAATAATGCTATTAATTGGAAGAGGTGACTTGATTTGACATTACAGAGAGGAGGGAGAGACAGACAGAAAGACTCACTGTAATTTAACTGCGCTGTGTACTGGAATCTAACAGTGGTTGAACTATTAAAAGCAAAAATTGTCTTTAAAAAAAAGCAGAAACAACTCAAAAAGTCATCATCAGAAAGTACCCAACCAAAGTTACAGATCTTTTCAGATGCCTTCTGATGAAAGTGGCCCTGTCCTGAGAAGGCTTGGCAGTGGGACTTCCCAGAGGGCCTGTTCCCGAGAAACTGAGGTAGATTTTTCTGGAGCACTGCACTTAAGGCAGCCCACGCAGGGCCTCTCCAGGGAATGTGAAGCCCCCCGAGGGCAGGGCCAGAGTGATGCAGTCAGCTTTCCCTAGACCAAATCACACAGCCTCCCACAACCCTGCCAGCATTTGGAGGAAATTGGGGACCTTACCCTGATGGGCTGCGTGCTGCCGCAGTTAGGAATTTGAAGTCACAGAATTGCTTTTAAGCTCTTTCCTTCCCTTTTTCCTTTTGAATAGTCAACATTTTCTTGGAGTGCCACTTGTCCCGTGCTTTGTATGACTGTGTTTACTAAATAATGTTTCCAAGCCTCCTTTGTTTGGGGTGAAGTTCTCATGTGCTCAAGAACTCTGCATGGATGCGCCTTTGCTCGCTCTGTCGCTTTGGCCCTCTCGCTCTCTCGTTATCTCTCTCTCTCTCTCTCTCTCTCTGTGTGTGTTTGAAAGACCCTGTATTAATGATTTTTAATTGACATTAGTGACTTGAGGGTCTCCTGACCTCAGTTTCCTGCGCGTGTCGTGGAGTGGTCCTGTTTGTCTGTGTAACTCTAAGCAGAAGCTCGAGCAGTGAGGCCGTGGGACAGATTTATTCTGCTATGTGCTGATGTGGTCTCTGCCTCTTCTCTTCCAGGCCCACTGGGCTCTTAGGAACTTTGGTATCATTTTGTAGTAGATGCTTATTCCAGATTAAATGGTTCACCTGACTTATTCCCATTCTTTTATAAGTAGTGTGTATATACAAACTCAGTATATTCTGTCTGTGTGAGTTAATTCCTTGATCCTTGGCAGAGCTTGAAAACCACATGAAAAACTGAATTATTAAAGCAAATTATGCTCTTTTTACTATTTGTACTATGTAGAAATTATATTATCCTCAGGGATGTTCCTCCTCCACTTGTCTTCTCCCTTGTAGTTAGAGTGCAAGTGTGTTTATTGGTGCCAAACAGGGCTTCCTCCTGCCACACTCATGTGCTGCTATTTGGCTTCTGTGATCTTTGTGCAGGTCCATCTCTGCTGCACAGGTGCGCGTGCATGCGTGTGCGTGTGTGTGTGTGCGTGTGTGTGGTGCTAGGGGTTGAACCCAAGGTTCCATCCACACTGAGCATGTGTCTCATCACTGCGCTACAACCCAGCCCCGTGTCTGCATTGAGCAGCTCTTTGGAACCATGTTTTTAAGGATCAGAGATCAGAATGTATTAGTAGTTCACAGCAGTAGGCCTCTGGCACATTCACACTTGGCCTCGGCTAGGGCCTGGCAAGGCCTGCGGGGGAGGCGGGGGAGGGCCCTCAGCAGTCCCGGTGGTA